CTCTCTCTGTTTCACTGCCATCATGACCGGCCTGAATTTTTCTTTTGATCCCTCCCACCCCCTTGTGTTGCCTTTTAATAATTTATCACGAAATCGTCACAGGACAAACTCCACTCGCAGAAAAAGAAACAGAAAGTGAGAATAAAAATTTCATTTGGCATAATTGCATGAAAAGAAACTGCAAAACTGGCCTTTCCATCTATTATTGATGTGTGCTTACAAGTCATGCATAATGCAGGGGGGACGTCTTTATGGCAGCCATGTATTAAATATCATGTTCTGGGGGTCGGGGGGTCTTGAGCTGCATGCTTTCAGTGCCAAAGTTAGTTGGTTTTGTAGCATTTGAATCCCATCCTGTTTGTTACAAGCTAAACTAAAAGGAAGAATTAGGGATTCAGAGTGTGAAAAGCGATAGAGAGAGATTGACAGGAGAGAGAGATGAAATGGGGGGACATGAGGGAGGGACAGAGGGTGTGCAAGCCGACAACGGGTTAACAGGAATCTTTATTTTTAACAACATGTCATCACCAGCCGCCCATCTGCTCCTATGCTGTCAGAGTCCCATGGGAGTGTGTGTAAATGTGTGTGCGAGAGACAAAAAGCAAAAGAGATGCAAGCAAGCCATCACAGATCAAATCACTGATCAGCATCCAAAGGAGGAGGAGGAGGAGAAGGATGAGGGTGAGAGGACATGGTTAGAGAGGTGGGTGGCTCACGGATATCTCTAATATCCAAATGAAGTGAGACAGGAGGGGCAAGGACAGTAGGAGTGGAGGTGGATGGTGTGTGTGTACCGCTGCGGTGGCTGGTGTGAGAAGTAGGTAAAGTAGGATTATGTGGGTCAATCTGCAACTGCCCTTTCTGTGTTTGGATGGGGGATGGAGGTGGAGATGGTGGTCCAGAGGTAATGAGAGGGAATCTATTAGCAGAGGAGGGGGTATGAAGACAAAGAAAGAACATTGGCGAGGAGGTGGAGGAGGTGTGCAGGCTATGCTGGACCTTCAGGGGTGGCCCCAGCAGCTCATATTATGTGTTTCGTTTGGATAAAGAGACTCGTCCCTGGGGAAGAAGGGCGAGAATGAAGAGATGTTTACTGGTGGAAGCTGGGAACTATACTCATTTTTTTTGTTTCCACAAAGTGAACAGCCTGGACCAACAACTCACCGTTCCGCAGGTCACTCACAATTAGCAGATAGTTTCTCTTCTATTCAGCGCAGTTAATCTCTTTGCTTTTGTTCTTTCTTCATGCTTCTTCTCCTCCCAGTTCAGACTTGTTTTTCCGTCTATATGCCAAGGAAAACTGCATCCCTCCAGTGGTCCACTTCATTTAATCAAAAGTTTTGAGTGAAAAATCAGATGGAATGAAAACATCTTGTTTTGATATTTATGATGATACACTTTTACTTTTTGGAAAACATCTACTGCAAGCAGTCTTTAGTCCTCGTTTGCCCCATGTCTGCACTGAATCTGCATCTCATATTGGGTAGCGAAATCTCTCCGCCTTTCTTCATCTCCTTTTCAGTGTCTGTCTTTCTCCTCTTCATCCTTCAGGCATGGTAAATTTAAAGGCTAATTAGTCTAGAGAATCCAGTCATGTCAAAGAGCCCACCCTAGGCCACACATACACACGCACGCACGCACACACGCCCTCCTATTGATCTAGAAGCACCAACACATACATGTGCAACTTCTCACAGATTTGCACATAAAATAGTGACAAACAAACAAGATGCAACAAGAGTTTTAGAAGCAGCATGTATTATAAATGGTACACAGGCACAAAAAGTAAGCAAGCTTGCATTATGCAAGTTTTTTTGACCTTAGCAGAGGTCAAGTATTTCAAACATTCCGCATCATGCTCCAAGATGCTATTTACAGGGCTGGCTCCAAAGAAAATGTTTTGCATTTCCCCGTCTCCTCAGTTCCTCCTGCCTTCTCAGCCATCCCTCCCCCTCCCCTCACTCCCCATTCTCAGTCTTTCCCTCATTTCTGATCCATTTTTTATGCATTACTCCATTACTCTCAACTCCCATTTACAGTGCATTACCTCCTCCCGTCTTTCGCAAACACACTTTGCGCTGCTCTCTCCTTTCTTCAGTCACTTTGCCTTCGCTCTCCTCCATTGAATTATGACACTTTTCGCTACTTCTACCTTTCACTCTTTTATTAACTCTTTGTCTCTTTTCTGGTCACGTCTTCCCCCACTAAGTGTTTCTTCTCCCCATGTTTTTTTCGCCATCTACTTTGACATTCTCTGCATATCACACTGTCTGTCTGTGACATCTTCCTTTTAATTGGTTATCCAAAGCATCCTGTGTAATTTGTCTCCGATATGTGTGTGTGTTTTTTAACAGTTTTACAGATGTCAGCAAATGTAATTAACAAGAATATGATTAGCATTCAGCCTGTCTAGACCTTTAATTGTCCCCTTTGAGCACACATAAAAACCCACAGCCACCCAGCAGACCATCAGATTTCACGACACCATAAATCACATGTCAGAAGAGGTAAAATCAATGACTAAGTCAGCGTGTGTAGCTATGTCATCCTTTAATATCAGCTTTAAAATCAAGTAACTGTCATGATATGACCTGCAAGTTCCTAACAGCACAAAGAATTAGACGTGTCAGAGGTAGTTCCTTTTGATTGTAGGACACAACTTCAGAGAACCCATTCTCATTGCTGTGGGTAAAACAAAAATTAAGAATTTAGGTTTTGAAATAGCAGTGATGCAGACAAATAAACCCCCTGCAGACAACTGGCTGTTTTGACAGGAAAAAAGGATAAAATATTTAAAAGAAAATAGCTCTGAAATAATCTGTGGTTTATAGAAAACGTGAGAACTGCAGCTGGTAAAGAATGAACCTAAAACTGCCATGCTAGCATTTAAATGCTTTAAACTATATCCACAGATTTATTGTGATCTGACTCTTCTAAAAAAAATCTGCACACTAATTAAAATTCTTCAAATTCAGACATTTAAATTCAAGAAAAAAAGTCTCATCTTAACATTTCAGATACAAAGAAGACACAATTAAACCTCAATCATTTAATCAGTCTTATTACTACTCTTGTCCCTCCTCCAGCTGTGGTGGGAGTGATATTTCTCTCCTGTGCATGTATTTTGACCATGTTTCAGGCAGTCCACCAGCTTTATGGAAAGGCTTCATGAAAAGCACAATAGTCATAATTTAGATGTAATTTTAGATAAAAACTGGAAGCAGGCTGTCTAGAATAATTATGGAGCATCTTTGCTCTTCATCAACAGCATAAAATAGAGTTTGCAGATTTTAACTTGGACTTTTGATTACAGATATAGAAATTTAATCTGTAGTCTAATTAAACCGCTGTGTGTGACTATGAAGAATTACAGCAAAATGTAGGTGAGAACTTGTTACTGACACATTAATTGATAGAACCAGGCCTCAGAACGATCCACCAAACATGCTGTCCACTCATTGAGGGTCACCTTCCTGTTCCTGTTACGATCACATGACCTGCAAACATAGCACAGAAGAAAACAGATGATTTACAGAAACACATCCTATATTCAGTCACATCCACAAGGATACAGAGATGTAGTTTATAGTTTAAATATCTATAGGTGTACAAAGGAACTGCACTGGGGCTCTTCAGCAGCCATTGTCTTTCAGTTCACAGTGCAGCGTTATCTCTGAAGGGTACTCCTTCAATTTGTGTTAATCCATGGGCAGCGGGAGGCACAGTTGGTAATAAACATTATCATTGCTGGGAATGGCTTGACATTGACACAGCCAGCCCTGCTCCCACAAAACTTGTCATTGCAGACTGGCAGAGAAAAGGGGGGTTGGGTGGGAGTACGGATGGGAGAAGAAAAAGGAGATGGAAGGAAGTAAGAATGAGGGAAGAGTGAAAATGAATAACTGGCTGACAGAAAGGGAGGCTGAGGATAAACGCATTTGTATCAGAGATGAGAGAAAAACAGGAAGCACAGATAAGAAGAGGAAATACTTCGGCATGGAGGAGGAGTATGATAATGGAGAGATGGTGTGGTCATGAGATCGAAAGGGAGGAGGATACAGGATTGGCATGAAAATGAATGGATAGATGGCATGCAGAGAGAACAGCATGGTGGGAGGTGCAGCTTGGTCAGAGCGGGGGCGAATTGCATTTCGGTGTCACATTTTTAACCCTCTGTATTTCTGTAATTAGCTAAACAATAGCATATTGCAAAAGACAGAATATTTCAATTAGGCCAACAACCTCTTGTGTCACATGAGGTGATGAAATATGGACATAGGAAATAGCAATGGTCTTGAGTAAGATTTCATCAACTCATTAAAATGGCCATATTTAAAATTGTGATACTTATCAAATTGGCCAGATGTTTCACTATCATCTGCTGGCTTCTAGTACATGCATGTAACACACAACTTGTGAGATTGCTATAGTGGGATGTTAACCCCCCCCCCCAATAAACTGCCCAATATTTAATTTATTTAAATATCAGACAAGAAAGTTAATCATTATGTGATGCAGCAAGGCCGTTGAAGGCAGGACTGACTGAAAAAATGGTGTAGCACAGTGCTCCAAAGGCATCCTCTTATAATGCAGCTTCTTCAGGTCCCTGCGGCTCAACTTGCCATCTTTATTCCTGTCCAACAGGGTAAATCTTTTCTAAAGAGGGAGAGAGAGAAAGCACACTACTCAACTCAATACTTGTGTTTTCTGTTTCTTTATGTCATATCACATAAATACAATAAATGTGTGATGTTAACTAGGAGATTCAGCCGACCACAATGGTGGTTTTGGTCAAGGACTGTATAAAAAGATGGACAGAGTCATTGTGACATCACACACTAGTTAGTGAAGGTAGTTCGAAAGTTAGAAAGAAGGTACTTTTACATTGCCTTTTACTTTTCAAACCCTAAAGTCCCACGCATCTATGATTCATGCTCCGAAAACATAAAAGAAACAAAAAGAAACAAATTAATCAATCAATAAACCCATGAAACTCTGTAATTTAACAGAATTTTCCTGTTAATTTAAATACATGAAATGACATGAAAATTCTAGTGAAATAAAATAAAATGAAAGGTGATTTAACATGCTGAACAAAAATAACATGAAAAATATGTAAAAATTGTAAAAACTTTAATTAAAAAAAAATGTGTAAGGGCATAAAAAGACTGCAAAAAAACAGCCCAAAATTTAAAATAATTTCACAGTGTTTATTTAATAGATTAAACTTTTAAAACCTAGTTTAATAGTGTAACATATCTAAATATGAGATAACAGAAGTGATACTAAATGGCAGTAACAGAACTATAGTTTCTTTAATTTTACATAGATTTGTTTAGTAAATAACATGTTTGTTGTGGATTTACTGCAGTTTTCACCACAGAAATTCTCATTAAAGTCTCATAAAAATACAGAAATTTTTCTAATTTTAAATTACAGAAATTATGTGTGTATATGTATGTGTGTGTATAATATACTATATATATATATAATATATATAGTGCCCACTGAAATACCTCAGCATCTATGAAATGGATTGTCATTCAAGATGATTCAAATGATTCCTCAACTTTTCATCTACTGCTTTTGTTTATATAAAAGACCTGTTGTCTTTCTCCCATCAGACTGTTAGCATGCTACCAAGCTAAACAGGAAATGGAAACACGGTAAATGCTTCACCTGTTCACTCGCACTGTTGCTATTACAGTATTACAGTAGGCTGCAGTTCTATTTCTCTCATGCTAGAATCAGCATTGCTGAAAAATCCATAATGCTGGAATTTTATGATGTAACACTATCCCAAAACACTCTACATCTGTTTTTGTATCATAGAAATAATGCAGTGAGCTTTCACTTAATTCATTTGAGGCCAGGAGGTCAAGAGAATGCACAGAGGATATTAAGTTATCCCCCTATTCACCATGTTATTGAATAATTTAGTGAATATTGACCAAATACTGTTTATACGTGGTGTCTTAAGAGCCCCTGTCCCAGTCTGTGGACAACCACACCACAAGCAACATAAGAACTTACCACTTACGGTAGGTTGTTAACATCGATCAGTCACTAGACCCATGGAGGGCAGTTTGTATCTAGCACAAAGATGGTGTCTATCATGAAAAACAGCCTTATGTTCAGTGTTTGGTTACAGTGAAAGGGAAAATGATGCCTTTGAGTATTTGCCTTCTGGCTATAGTTTCTTTTCACTTTATGGAAATGATTTTATTTCCATCATCACTGGCTGAGGTCATCATAGATCATGAATTACGTTTACTACTTCACAGTTATCTTCTTATCCCTGTTAACCTGCTGAACAGGCTCACTTTAAGTGCGAAGTATGAGTTACTTGTGCCAGCTGTGTCCTCTGGGTGTGGCTCAGGCAGCTCTGGGGCGGGGCAGCAGGTGCGTAGGATTCCCCCATACGACTCAAGAGCAAAAACCAGTCCAGGAGACGATATGGAAACTGGCCTAACTCCTCCTCGGTGCATTTACCCTTGGGGACTGATCATAAGGCACATCAGAGCCAATTTGGAAGACTGTGATACACAGTGGAAACAGTGTGTAATGTCTAATGCTATTTACCCAGACAGGGTCCTGTGTGCGCGAGTCCGGTGCGGCGCCTCTTTCTGCAGGCATCTTTATGAAGCCAACACTCATTCTCATAGGTCTTTCCCACAACACTGCACACTGGTGCCCTCTGCCTGATTCCATGAGCGAGTGCCCACAGACAAAATTCACATGTGAGAATGTAGTGTACAATGTGCCAGATTACTGCTTTACCTTAACATGTCTTTCCGAAAGTTACATATATTTGTGAATCCCATATAAGTATAAACTTCCTGTAAGGACAAAATATTTTAAAGCCTGAAAATGATTAAAGAACCAAATGTTGTTTACCGAGGACAGGACTGAGGACAAACACACTTGGGGATGAGAATTCCGTTTTCTTGAACTACCTGGCACCAAGACCCCACTGGAGTACGGCATTTCAGCAGCTCACAAAGCTTTTCTGAAGTAGAAATAGAAAAACAACCTTGTGTCAGCTTAGTTTTTACTTTTACATCGACACTCACCAGCCATTTTATTAGTTTCAACTTGATATTACTAGGTTAGGACCCTATTTTGTCTTCAGAATTTCTGGCTATAGTTTCTTTATGTTAATATATGCTTAAGAGCGTTCATCGTGTTTATGTGTATCATGCATCCATGACAGTTCCTGCCAGTTCTGGATGGTGACTCGAATACTGACCAGGTATGTGAAAATTTTAATGTATTTTGATCACTTTCTAGTTCTGCACATTTAGAAAAAGAGGAATGTGCATGGGACTTGCATGCAGTCATGTGGCATTCCTCTTACCTGGTTTAACTCTGCCAATGTATGGTCTCAGGCTCTCTTCAGCTTGTCTCTGTTTGCGCTGGGCTCTGCCTCCCTGAAACACACACACAGTTTTCTAATAGACAAAAAAAAGCGGGCATTTATGTTTTATCTGCGGCCAAAATCATTAGTGGCAGCACCGAACTCTGGCATAAATTTCCTTTTCATTAAAACCCCCGGGCTCATTTTAAACTAATATTCTGTACCATTAGAAAAGTCAGCTTCTTGGCATCATTGTACTGTAAAGAGCACACATCATAAACCCAAAATAAAAATGGGCATCCGTTCAACATCAATCTGCTCTCACAGTACACCTCAATTCCATACTGATATTTCCAAACTTTGTAGTCTCAGCCAGGTCCACATCTGCCCCTAAATTCTTCCCAGATCAAATGTGAAACAGGTGACCAAAATACTGGAGCCACATTCCATAACTCGGAAATTTTCTTTTTAACACCTGTGACAAAACAGACTTGATGAGTGGAACAGAAAAAAAAGTCAGGAGAACATAATTTCAAATATTTTTACTTTTCACTCATTAGTAATATTTACATTGACCCTTGACCCTTTTTTACGATTTTTTTTTGTGGAAAGCCGAAATTAGGCAGATTAAGTTAAACATACCTTTACTGTTTGAACACCCAGGAGCAGAAACAAGCTACAAATGATGTTCAACTTCATGGTTGAGCCACACAGTGGGGCTGTAAGAGGAAAATGACGAATCGACATATTTTATGTTTCCAGTATCTTCCTTTACATTTCCTCATATTGAGTTAAAATCGAATAAAGATAAATGTTGCAGAAAATGATCAGTTTACCCAGAACCCAGAACAGCTAATCAGTGCATTTGAATCTAATTGTTCTTTCTGCTGTGCTGTAATTTACTGACTTTTACCCTGTTTCCAGTCATTCTCATAATGTAGCGGGAAACAATGCAGCTCATTGAGTTTTAAGCACCAAAGAAAATGATTTTCCATCAGAGAGGAAGCAGAGGGTTGAATTACACTGAGAGAACATTCAGCTTTCAGTTGAGGAAGTTATTGCAGAATAGCAAGTCATTTTCTATCCCCTGACTGCTTGAGGAAAAACATCTTACCAGGGCCTCTGTCACTCCTTCCTTCTGTTGTTATTCCCTTGTTAGCGTTCTCCTTCGTTGCCTTGTTCTGTCTCCTCCGCTGAGGGTGAATATTTTTGCAGCCGGCTTTAACAGACTTTATGTTTTCTTTTATTTGATTGAATATCTTTTCTTTGCATTCGCCCCTTTTTCAGCTCCCCTTCTCCTTACCTCTCTGAGTCTCTTTCGCATCAGCCCGCTTTTGATTGCAGTGAAGTGAACAGGTATCTGAAGTCAGTACCGGTATTAGTTTAAGACCATGTGCACTTGAATGTTTTCGTAAAGAAGATCTGAGAGAGAGAGAATTTAGGAAGGTGGAGTAGTTTTCATGGAAGCTGGCACTGGACCACATGATGATTTACAAGCCAGGGAGACCATATGGTCACACTATTGTCTCAAGCTGAAATTTCCCTTTGTGTTTCAGACACACACGCTCACACACACCCAAAGAGAAAAGAGAGAGAGTATATGCAGAAGAAGAATACCTTTAAAAATATGACCGGTCAAACGCAATAACACAGCAAAGGCTGCTCTCTAGTGGTTAGAAAGGAAAACAACAATTTCATTATGTGACTACCACTAAAAATATACAAGGCTAATGTATGATGATTTATAAGCATTTTTGACACAAGTGTCCATAGTCTGGTAAATTTGACGAGGGCACAGGGGTTTATTCCTTTCTGCAGCCACCTTTCTTGGAAAGCCACTCCGTACCAATACTTCACCAAAATGATTCTAAACAGGTTGTTCATTCGGGTTGAGAGCTAACTGTTGCAGTCCAACAAAATATATATGCCGCAACTTCTGCTTTTACTAAGCTTGTAAACTAGCCGCTTTGTCGACAATGTCAGAAACTTTACTTACTGTTTACTGTTGAGCTGTCAGTGAGTGCTGGTTGTTTACTGGACTGCCTTTTATTTAAAAAAGGTATGCAGATGACAGCATTATCTGCTGGATAATAAACAGTGAGTTAGTTCATAGAGGGAGGAACTCAACAATCGGCAGTATGGTGCACAGAGAAGAACTGAGTGGTCAAGATCAAGAGAACTAGGTGCTGATATCTGGTTTAAGAAAAGCTGATAGAAGACACACAGGTCTGTTTACACCAGTAAAGAAAAAGCTTGAAGTCAATGACTGGAAAGCGAATTAAACCCACCCAGCAGACAACTGGCACCAATTACCAAGCCTGAAGTTAAGTCTCTGTTCACAGCCCATAAAATGTAAGTTAAGTTAATGATTTTTTTTTTGTTCTTGTTTTTTAAATTAACTGGCCACTTTAGCAGGTTAACTGCTTGTTAACAAAATATCTTATAACCCAATCATATGACATCCTGTTGAAATTCAAAATGAGCATCAGAATGAGGAGGCAAGTTAATTTAAGTGACTTTGAATGTGAAACTGCTGATCTGGTCGGGCCACTCTGAAGGGTCTCAATTTCTGCTGCAACATTTTGATAGTAGTGTCCAGGATGTTGTTCAGGCTGCTGTTGGTGGTGTAATGATGTATGGCATTTTTTTCTTGGCACGCTTTAAGCCCCTTAAACACCACCACTACCTCAGTATTGTTGCTGACCACAGCACTGTGTTATGACCACAGTGCACTCATCTTTTGATGGCTGCTTCCAGCAGCTTACTGCGCCATGTCGCAGAGCTCAAATCATCTCAAACTGATTTCTTGAACACGAACATGTATTCACTGCACTCAAACGGCCTCCACAGTCTCCAGATCTCAATCCAAAAGAGCACATTTGAGATGCGATGAAACAGCAGATTCAGTTCATGTGCAGCCGACAAATCTGCAGGAAGTTTGTGATGCCGTCAGTACTAGCAAGGTGGACAAAGAGAGCCATTTTAACTTGCAGCAGCATTTTTTATTCAGATGAGGCTCTTTACATAAGTAAGACAGTGTTTTAATTGAACCAATAATTAATAAAGGTGTACACTGTTCTACTCTTGCACCCCAGAAAGATAGAACAAGTTAAAGATTTAAAACATATATCTGATGACTGATGTGTATATCTACTTTTTAAAATAATCTTTGTAAATATCTCCAAAAATCACAGATCTTTTTTTTTTAAGCAAACAAATAAAACAACTACAAGCCATCTTTGCTAGTTGCTGTGCAACCGTTGATTTAAGGAGCAGATTCTTGAAATCTTTTAACATTCTTTTTTTTTTTTTAACTTCCCTTATCTTTGGGGTTGGAATGAAAAAGAGGCATAACTCATAAGATGTAAAACAAGCAATTTAATAACACATACTTTATTGATCCTTGTGGGGAAATTACTCTTTGCATTTAACCCATTCACTCAGTGAAGCAGTGGGCAGCCACCAATCCAGCGCCTGGGGAGCAGGGACTGTAGGGACTGTACCTTGCTCAGGGGTACCTTAGAGTAGTCAGTGGATTCAAACCCCCAACCTTCCAATCATGGGGTGACCACTCTACCTACTGAGCTATCGCTGCCTACTAATGCTGGATTTCATTCACTTTCATGCTCATGTTACATAAAATCCTTCCTTTGTTTCTATTCACTTCATCTGGATTTGTAAACCTGATGTATCCTTTAATCTGTTTTAGAGCCATTGTTTTTCATTGTTTTTGCCACTTGACAGAATATTACTTTAAGAATTATTCATATAAATATTTTTAATGGCTGACATGAATAAAGCAAAAACTATAAAACAAAATAATAATCTTTTTGTTTTGAATGCTTTTAATGGATAAGTGATATGAAAAATACAGAACTGTGGTGAGATGGGGGTGCTTCAATTCAATTCAATTCAGTTTTATTTATACAGGGCCAAATCACAACATCAGTTGCCTCAAGGTGCTTTATATTGTAAGGTAGACCCTACGATAATACATACAGAGAAAAACCCAACCATCATATGGCCTCCTATGAGCAAGCACTTTGGCGACAGTGGGAAGGAAAAAATCCCTCTTAACAGGAAGAAATCTCTGGCAGAACCAGGCTCAGGGAGGGAGACAGAAAGACAGAATAAAAGACATGCGGTGGAAAATAGCCAGAGATGAATAACAAGTATGATTTTTCTGCCTTTGATGTTTGACGTATTAATGCAAACTGTATCTTGATGCGTATTATGCTATTTTTCTTCACACAGTTTGTGAATTTTAGATCGCCAGCAGCTAAACTTTTCCAATTACTGGTCAGCTGAAATGACAATGGGACATACAGACAGTTGCTTGGAAAAATCAGGAAATGCCATGTTCTTAAAGAAAAAAATCTGGCCCTGTTTTATCTGACATTGCAGGGAAATTGTTGTTCCTGTTATTCAAAGGAGTTTAAGAAAAATACATGACTTTCGCCACGCTGGCTTGCTGTGTCGAAACTTTCAGCTACAGTTTCTTCTTTTGCAGGTTTTATGAAATTGATCCACCCACATTTGTGTCCAGGTCAATAATTTAGAACAGCGAAAAGGGGGTAAAGTTTGATTAACTGCTAAATCATACTACTATATTATGTGAGATCTGGTTAAAGTTAAGAAGCACTTCACAGTGAATCTGAACAGAAGGCTATTTTAGCTCAGGTACCAAGGCAATGATGCGCAAAACAACCCATAACAGACAAATAGTAGAAGTGATAAGCTATTAAGAAATGGTGCTTTCTGTGATTGCTGCCAGTGTTAAACTGCCAGTTGTTCAAGAAAATAGCACGACTATAAAAACTCATGTTCTACTCTTGCTGAAAACATCAGCTACATGTACTTCTAGCCTGCTTGAATGCTGGCAGTCTTTCCTTCCCTTGTTGCTGATAAGGGAACCGATTATTTCACATTACAGTGAGGATATGGGAGAAGCTGCTGCCCAGTTGAACAGTAAGCTAGACATGAGGCAGAATTGAAAGGAACTGCATACAACAAAACATGTTTCTTATGCTTTATAAATGTGACGAGGAAACTGTATTTGGAGAAATCCAAGCGATGGACTTATCATCAGAGGGATGCTTTAGAAGTTATCTTAGAGAGCTTTATTTTTTAATGCTGGCTGATCAGGGCCTTCGTTGCCTCTCTGAGGCACCTGCAAAAAGGTACAAGCTGTGTGGCTTGTCAGTACTTGGTCTTCATCCCTTTTTTCTTACCTAAAAGGATGTCCTAAACTTTGGAGGAGGAGGTACAGATGGCTATTTCCAGAGTGCTGCCTGGTATTCTTTCTATCTTGGGTTGTGGAATGCACAGACGATCTTAAGTATGTGGAAGAAGCTCCTGGTGTGGACCCTTCAGATATACTCCTGTCCAATCAGATTTGTAAGCTCCTAGGCTGCTTTAAGACAGCTTACTGTGGATTTTATGAAGGTAGAAATGCCCTAAAATATTCCATTTTCATTACTGTAATGAAAGCACATTCATTAGAATTTCTAATTCTAATGAATGTGCTCTGCTTGAATCTGTTACACAAGCAGTGAAAGAGAATTTTAAATAATTAAATAAATATATAAATCTTTTCAATTTTAACTGATCTTTGGTTGTCTGGCGACCGTGGCTCAGGGGGTTGGGAAGCGTATCTGTAATCGGAAGGTCGCCGGTTCGATTCCCGGGCTCTCTGTCCTGGCTCTTGGTTGCTTTGTCCTTGGGCAAGACACTTTACCCTACTGCCTACTGGTGTTGGCCAGAGGGGCCAATGGTGCGATATGGCAGCCTCGCCTCTGTCAGCCTGCCCCAGGGCAGCTGTGGCTACAACTGTAGCTGCTTCCACCAGTGTGTGAATGCGAGAGTGAATGAATAGTGGCATTGTAAAGCGCTTTGGGTGCCTTGAAAAGCGCTATATAAATCCAATCCATTATTATTATTCTGTAGTATCTTTGTTGGTGCGTTTTATTTTGTTTTTTTAATTAATTACAGAACAAATGCATCTGGTGATGTTCGTGCAAAATTGCCATCTTCCTCCTCCTCCACTGTCACCTCGGACAACATGAGCTCACCAACCTTTTGTTCAGCCACTGCCATTATGTGGGCTGACTCATTTCGGGTTCCCTGGGGCCAAATACCAAGTGAATTATGCCGTGCAGTAGCAAATGGGAGTAGACTTCTCAACCTCGATCACTGCAAAATGATTTGCGCCCTTGTCGATGAAATGAGGTAGCAAAGCAAAGCACAGTGTTGTGCTGTTGCTCACAAAATAGTCAAACAGTATTCAAAGAGCTTTTCTGAGTATGCCAGTTTATGCTCGATTGATGAAATTTCCCGCCACTCCCTCCAAAAAGAAATAAAAACTCATGTTGAGCATCTTAATAGAGACAACACTGCATATGTGCAGAGAGCAACAGCATGTGGACGTACAGTCTGAGTTCCCACTTGGTGAGAGCGATGCTGTACTAGAGAAAGAAAGACAAGCTTTAGAGAATTGAGACAAGGTATGCAAAACAAGTGGCACTGATATGAGTTAGGTTTGTA